AAAGCATCAGGGCTGGCTCTGTGGTACAGCAGGTTAAGCTACTTCCTGCAGTGCCAGAATCCCATCTGGGTGCCAGTCCAAGTCCTAGCTGCTCCACTTCTGATCCTGCTCCCTGCTGATGTGTCTGAGAAAGTGGAAGATGGGCCAAGTGCTTGGGCCCCTGCACTCATATGGGAGACCCAAAAGAACTCATGGCTCCTGGCTTCTGCCTGACCCGGCCCCAGCTGTTGCAGCCATTTTAGGAGTGAACCAGCCAATGGAAGATCTCTCTCTCCTTCTCTTTCTCTGTAACTCTGACTTTCAAATAAATAAATGAATCCCTTTTTAAAAAAAAAAATTAGAAGGTATCTTTCATGGCACTGGATCCTAAATTAGCACTCAATAAATATTGGTTCTCTTCCTCTAGGTGTTTGAAGATCTCTCATCCATCTCACTTCTTTATCAATTTAAATGACACCATCTGGCTCCCATCCATATCTGATTACATTGCCTGCAGCGCTGCCCTACCTTCCCTCTGTCTTCCAATGTCTTGACTTCCTCCTGCATTCTATTCCTTTGAAACACAACCCTCCTCCTGGAAAAAAGAAAAATTAAACACAAGCCTTGTCACTGACAGGGATTCCTATCTGATCTTAAGTGACACTTTCTCAGAGAAGCTTTTTTTTTTTTTTTTTGACAGGCAGAGTGGACAGTGAGAGAGAGACAGAGAGAAAGGTCTTCCTTTTGCCGTTGGTTCACCCTCCAATGGCTGCCGTGGCCAGCGCGCTGCGGCTGGCGCACTGCGCTGATCCGAAGGCAGGAGCCAGGTGCTTCTCCTGGTCTCCCATGGGGTGCAGGGCCCAAACACTTGGGCCATCCTCCACTGCCTTTCCCGGGCCACAGCAGAGAGCTAGCCTGGAAGAGGGGCAACCGGGACAGAATCCAGCGCCCCGACCAGGACTAGAACCCGGTGTGCCGGCGCCGCAAGGTGGAGGATTAGCCTATTGAGCCACGGCGCCGGCCCAGAAGCTTTTCTTGAGCTTGACAACCCCAGCCCATACTAGATGAAATCCAGTGTTCTTTGGCCTCATTCTCTCCTACAACCCAATACCATCAACTTAACAGAGAAAATTGGGGAAACCCTGCAAGACATTGGCATAGGCAAAGACTTCCTGGAAAAGATCCCAGATGCACAAGCAATCAAAGTCAAAATTAATAAATGGGATTACACCAAATTGAGAAACTTCTTTTTTTTTTTTTTTTTTTTACAGGCAGAGTGGACAGTGAGAGAGAGAGACAGAGAGAGAAAGGTCTTCCTTTGCCGCTGGTTCACCCTCCAATGGCCGCCGCTGCAGCCGGCGCACCGCGCTGATCCTGGCAGGAGCCAGGAGCCAGGTGCTTTTCCTGGTCTCCCATGGGGTGCAGGGCCCAAGCACCTGGGCCATCCTCCACTGTACTCCCTGGCCATAGCAGAGAGCTGGCCTGGAAGAGGGGCAACCGGGACAGAATCCGGCGCCCCAACCGGGACTAGAACCCGGTGTGCCGGCGCCGCAAGGTGGAGGATTAGCCTATTGAGCCACGGCGCCGGCTGAGAAACTTCTGTATTGCAAAAAAAAATACTCAGGAAACTGAAGAGGCAACTGACAAAATGGGAGAAATTATTTGTAAAATATTCAACTAATAAAGATTTAATAACCATAATATATAAAGAGATCAAGAAACTCAACAGCAACAAAACAAAGTATCCAGTGAAGAAATGGGCAAAGGGTGTAAACAGATATTTTTCAAAAGAGGAAATCAAATGGCCAACAGACAAATGAAAAATGCTCAGGATCACTTGCCATGAGGAAAATGCAGATCAAAACCACAATGAGGTTTCACGCCACCCCAGTTAGAATGGCTTTCATACAGAAATCAACAAATGCTGGTGAAGATGTGGGGGAAAAGGTACCCTAGTCCACTGTTGATGGGAATATAAACTGGTAAAGCCAGTAGGAAGACAATTTGGAGATACCTCAGAAATATGAATATAGACCTTCCCTATGACCCAGCCATTCACTCCTGGCAGTTTACCAAGGGAAATGAAATCAGCATATGAAAGGGTTATCTGCACCCCAATGTTTATTGCAGCTCAATTTGCAATAGCTAACACATAGAATCAACTCAAATGCCCATCAACTGAAGACTGAATAAAGAAATTATGGGATATGTACGCACAGCAGTAAAAAAAAATGAAATCTGGTCATTTACAACACAATGAATTAATCTGGAAAACATCATACTTAATGAAATAAGACAGTCCCAAATAGAAAAATACCACATGTTCTCATTGACCTGTGATAACTAATAGAGCATCTAAAAGGCAATCTATAAAAGTGAAATTGACACTTTAAGAAACAATGACTTGACAGCTTTTGTTTTGACTGTTGAGGAACAGTTTTTTTAATACTATTTGTTCAACTCTCTGTGTAACATAGATTTAAACATATGTGATGTGTATGAAGTCAATTGAAAATACATTTCAGTAAAAAGTAAGAGTGGGAAAAAGAGAGGGAGGAGGAAGAGGAATTGGGAGTATGCATGGGAAGGTGGCATGGTGGGAAGAATCACCATGTTCTTTAAGGTGTAATTATGAAGTATATGATGTTCATAAGTGTAAGGCTGTATAGTTCTGCATGCATTCCTATGGACTTACTTCTAAGGATACAGTTTAAAACTCGTCATAGAACTCCAAATCCCCTTAAGCTTGGTGGTAAAAATATCATCTTAAATGTTAAAGTTATGGATAGGATTAAGGGTCTGGTAATAATAGAATTCTCCAACATGTGAAACAGTTCATACAGCAGACTCATAGAATGACAATCACTTTAAATAGCACTCTCACCTCAGAATCAGTCCTTGAGGCATGATGGTCTGGTTGAAAAGCCCAAGAGAGCATTTCAGGCCAAGATACTGTGGCAAAAAATGTCCTACATAAAAGAGCTCAGTGTGTGAGCTCCCAGTGGAAAGAAGTGGTCAAAGGAGGTATTTCTCACCGAAAGGAGAGAACTTCCACTCTGCTCATGGCCTTGTCTAAATACTGTCAGAGTTTGTGGATTCAAAAGGCTTCCAAGGCCTAGGCAGCTCATGTCAAGTGCCTCGGGTGATCACTGATGTCATACATAAGAGTATTGATTATTAAATTAACAAGAGCTACTGTACACTAACTTCCCATGCAGGACCTCTGTCCTCAGAGAGTTGTATTATAATTATGCCTAAGTGCTCACAAAAGATGTATCATTCTTGTGTGCTTCTTTAAAGTTAATTTTCTAAAAAAAAAAAAGAAGAAGAAAAAAAAACAAGTGAAATTACCTTCATGATGCAATGACTTTGAACAACTCTTGTCTCAACTGTTGAGGAACAGTTTTTGTTTTGTTTAGTTTTGGTTTTTGGTTTTTGGGGTTTTTTTCCACTCAAATTGTTGAACTCTACTTAGTATAGAGTTGGTCTTCTGTGTATAATGTTAATCGAAAATGGGAAAATATTTGAAAATCATATGTCTGGTAAGTGTACAGTATTCTGAATATTTAAACAACTCTTATAATAGATAAAAATCAACAAAAATGGGTAAAAACTCGAATTGTCATTTTTCAAAAAGAGGATCCACAAATAGCCAAGAAGCCTTGAATAGAAATTTCAAATGAAAACCACAATGAGATGCCACATTAAACTCATTAGGATAACTATAATATAATAAGAAAATAACACTGCCAGTAGGAACATAAAATGTCAATACTATGGAAAACCATTTGGCGGTTCCTGAAAAAAGTAAGCGTAGAATTATCTTACGATTCAGCAATGGCATTCTTAGGCAAATGACTGAAAAGAGGTGATCAAATAAAACCATGCACATGCATGTTCACAGCATACTATTTATAACATCCAAAAGATGGAAATATTCATCAAATAACCATCCATAGATATATGTATAAACAAATTGTGACATATACATACCAGGAAATATTACTCAGTCATAAGAATAAACGGTGGCCAGTGCTGTGCTGTAGTGGGTAAAGCCACCACCTGCAGCACCAGCATTCCATATGGGTACCGGTTCTAATCCTGGCTGCTCCTCTTCAGATCCACCTCCCTGCTAATGCTCCTGGGAAAGCAGCAGGAGATGGTCCAAGTGCTTGGGCCCCTGCACCAACATGGGAGACCTGGAAGAAGCTCTTGGCTCCTGGCTTTGGATCAGCGCAGCTCCAGCAGTTGTGGCCATCTGGGAAGTGAATCAGTGGATGGAAAAATCTCTCTCTCTCTCTCTCTCTCTCTTTCTCTTTCTCTTTCTCTCCCCCCCCCCCCATCTCTGTAACTCTACCTTTCAAATAAATAAATAAGGGACTGGCACTGTGGTGCAGCAGGTTAACGCCCTGGCCTGAAGCACCAGCAACCCATATGGGCATTGGTTTAAGATCCACTTCCGGTCCAGCTCTCTGCTATGGCCTGGGAAAGCAGTAGAAGAGGGCCCAAGTCCTTGGACCCTTACACCCACATGGGAGACCCAAAAGAAGTTCCTGGTTCCTGGTTTATGGTTAGTGCAGCTCCGGCCGTTGGGGCCAATTGAGGTGTGAACCATCGGATGCAAGACCTCTCTCTCTCCCTCTCTCTCTCTCTCTCTCTCTCTCTTTCTCTGCTTCTGCTCTTTCTGTGTAACTCTAACTTTCAAATAAATAAATAAATCTTTGGAAAAAAAGAAAAATAAGTAAATAAATCTTAAAAAAAAGTGGAACTCATTGATACATTCTATAGCCCAAAGGAACCTCGACATGCTAAGTGAAAGAAGAAAGACACAAAAGATTATCTATTATGTATGATTGTATGAAATAGGTAAATCCACAGAGACAGAAAACAGATTGGTGAGTGGATGGGAGAATGGGGAGGAACTCTTTAATTGGTATAGGCTTTGATTTTGGGGTGATGAAAGTGTTTGAGTGGTGGTTGCATAACAACAGAAGGTATTAAGTGTTATTGTTTCATTCACATTAAGATAGTTAATCTTTTGTTAATTTCATCTCAATTTAAAAGAGAAACTATTTAGGCCCTCACTCTAAAATCCCAACTACCTTTTAAAAGTCCCTAATTGATCATTGATTTTTAAAAGACATAACAACAAAAAGAGCCATATCATTTTAATAAAGTTGTTTGTAAACTGATGTTGTGATCTCAACTGTTCTAAATAAAGATTCTGACACTAAAAACCTGTAAGAAATGTTTTGAAATGAAAATAAATAAAGTATATTAATATATTTAGGTTAAAAATAATAGTTTAAAAATGTCCTTTGTTACTAAATGCAATAAGAAAGTTTTAAAAATAAACTTTCGATCTCTTTGGGATACTGAGATATGCTGAGGTCCTGTCATTTTGACAGAAATCACTAAAAAACTATAAATAACCACGAAAAATCTGTGACAACAGATGGTGCAAGACCATGCTAGGATAGCAGGCCTATTAGAAACAAAGTTAGAGATCTGTGTGAATGCAGCAATCTTGGATGCTCTTCGAGTGTATCTGAAGGAGATCAAAGTCAAGTGCTGTGCTCCTGGGAGCAGTTCTGCCATGACTGACACCCGAGCATGGAGACTGTCGAATCACATGCCTTCAGTACTGTGGGCCACCGCCATGCTCAGCTACACCCTGCCTGGTAATCAGACGTAATGATGCCCACTCATTTGAGCTCAAAAGGACGAAGTTACTGAAGATTGATATGTCCCTCAAAACCCTACTGACTCTCCACGGAGATAAAATCCTGTTAGCCTTGGAAGAAGTCGTGATTTATTGTGACATTACCAGGGACATTTCTCAGGATATCCTTTCCTCTTCCATTTATTTTTGAGCTTAGACTGAGACTTTTTCTCTTTCTTACTCTCTTCCCACTTGAGTTTTCCCCTTTCTCCTTCTCTTTCCTCTTATTCAACAGATGGCCTTCTCGCCAAGGGATGGAGGATGTGTACTAGTTGGGACCCAAAACTCTTATAATCAGACCTGAGTAGGTAGTTGAGAAAGTTCCTTTTCTTTTTTAAAAAAATTATTTATTTTCATTTTATTTGAAAGTTGGAGAAACACACATACAGAGACATACAGACACAGACAGAAGTCTTCCATCTAGCTTAACTCCACACCTGCCTACAACAGCTAGAGCTGCGCCAGACTGAAGCCAGGGCCTTGGAATTCAACCTGAGTCTCCCACGTGGGTGGCAGGAACCCCAGCACTTGAGCCAGCATTTGCTGCCCCTCAGGGTGTACATGAACAGGAAGCTGGAATCAGAAGCGGAACTGGGACTTGAACCCACGATCTCTGATACAGGATGTGGGTGTCCTAAGCAATGTCTTAACCACTGTACCAACACCTGACCCCAGGGGTTCACTCTAGAATTCACCTATTTCTGATTGACGAAGAGGGAAACTCACAAAGAAAACCCAAAAGTTACTCCAGAATTCATCTTGGGTCTCATTTTGATGCTTTTTATGCCCAGCATTAAAGGATATGTGTGTTTTAGAGTTTGCTTCCTTCACCATCTATGTGAAAAATAAATGAGGTATGACAGAAAACAGAGAAAGGTGAGAGAAAAAATAAGATCTTGAGCTAACCACAAACAGAATACTCAACTTGTAAAGCAATGAAAATGAACATTTGTGAGCTCTTACCTTGAGCCAGGCAGTAATCCAGGAACCTGGAAAGGATGAGAAGAAGATGCCTAAAAATAAATAAACAAATATAGATGAATAAATGAATAAATCCAAGAATCTGAGCTGTGATTCAAAGTATGTGAATTTTCACAGTCAAACTAAGTAAAATATGATTATCACACCAAAAGCAGTAGTATGCCTACAGTACCTGATGTAACAGATTCTTAAAAATTTAACTTTGGGGGCAGGCATTTGGCCTAGCAGTTAAGATGCTGCTTTGGATGCTTGTGTCCCGTATCTGAATGTCTAAGTTTGATTCCCAGCTCTGTCCCCACCTCCAGCTTCCTGCTGTTGTGCACCCTGGGAGACAGCAGGTGATGGTCCAAAGTAGTTGTGTCCCTGCTACACACATGGGAGACCTGGACTGAGTTTCTGGGTCCCTGCCTGGGCCTGACCCAAGCCCAGCCCTGGCTGTTGAAGGCATTTGGGGAAGTGAACCAGCAGAGGAGCCCTCTTCCTCTCCCTCTCCTTCCCAAATAAGAAAAAGAAAGGCAATAAATAAAATTTCAAAGCTTGACTTTGGCTTTCATTTAGGTGTTGATTACCTTATCTGTTTGTAGTCTTTAATCATCTCAGAATATAAATTTTCCTTCATTGCAACAGATTTTCACCACTCCAGGTTTGCCTATGTTTTGCAAATTTTGAATGACCTTAAGTCTTTGGCTGATTATAGCCAAAATTGATTCTCCTAGGCAAAGTAACTCACTCTGCGCTTCCACAGCATTCTGTTCACACCTTTATCAAGCAAGGATCACACTGCATATTAATTATGTGTTCTTTTCTGGCTCCTTCACTAGTGAGAGCTCCTTAGGCAAAATGATTGTGTCTTTTTGAGGCAGGAAAACATGGTGAGCAGGCATCCAGGCTCCCCACTCATTCTCAAGTTCAAGTCCTTGCTCTACCATTTCCTCTCTTGCTATGTTACCTTGGATGAGTTATTTGTTACCCTCTCTGTTTCCATTTCTTCCAGTGAATAATAACAAATCTATTTCAGGAGGATGTGTTGTGAACAGTATATTATATATATATTTATATATATATAGTATTTTCTACAGTGCTTAGCACCTGAGCTGAGATCAATAAGTACAGAATCTCCCCCCCTAGTCTAGGGTAAGGATTTACAAAAAATTCATAGCCAATTAAATTAATAAATCATTTTATAAGAGCTGCCTAGGTTAGGGCATAGTTTTTTCCTACTTTTCCTGCCAAAATTTCCTTTAGATAAAAAGAGAAATACCCTCTCAGACATTTCAAAATGCTGAAGTGAGTTATTCATTTCCCTTTGGTTTCATGGGGAAATGACAGTAATTCTTTCTTCCTCTTGTTTCCCAGAATGGTTGTACTCAGCTGAGAACTGCAGATAGGGAGCCATGATCAGAAGAGCAGCTGACAAAGGAGCCCTGACCTTGCAGTTTTCTGGGGACTGCTGTGGCCTGGTAAAGGTCCTCCACAGAGAGAACACTGCTACACATCTTGACTTTGTTAATAAAATGCAGATTCCCACCTGATTCCAAGGTGAGTTAACACTCCTCTCTCCAGTCCCCCAGTACCAAAGTGATGATTACGAACTCTGAGAAGCACAAGCTATGCTAAGTGCTTCATACGAATTGGTCAACAAACCTCGAGGCTGGTGTTAACCTTCATTTCACAGGTGAAATAGAGAGTTGCAGTCATTGGCTCCAAATCACAAAGCTACTTCCTGGCAGAGCTAGAAGGTGACAGGAGGCTGTCTACTACCCTAGTCCATGCCTGTGAAGAGCACTCCAGACGGCTTCCACCACTACTTCCACGTTATTCATTCCCCTATCAGGTAATGGCAGGGTCTCTAATCTGCCTCTCCATCCAAACTGTGGGCCTCTTGATGGTACACCCCATAATGTCTCTGATCCCCCTACCCTTGTCACAGGACCTGGCATATAGCTGATATTGCATACACATGGAAGAAATGAGTGAATGATCACACACATTGAGTTAGGACTTCAGGCAGGAGACACTTTGTTGGATTTGAATGAAGATATGGGAGGAGAGGAATTGTGTGTGCTTCCAGGAGAAACCTCAACTCTCCTAGCTCTGGCTCTGAGGCAGGGTAATGGAGCCCTCCTCTCCACACCCCTCATTTAAACATTTAGAAGAAATTTTGAATAGAGATTATTTACTTACCTTTCCCCACAGTGGTTCCCCTACAGGTAGCTTTCACAGCTGACTCTTAGTCCCTTGGCCATACGTTCCCTTCTGACATCATTCAGCTTCCCTGAACTGCCCCTGCTATGGTCACTGGGACCCCGAACACCTGTCAAAACTCTCACAAGGGAAGCAATCCTCAGTGGCTGGATGTGCTCATGTTGGCCCAACAATCGGGCCTGTGGAAGACTCTCAAGGGAGCTCTTCAGGCACAGCTCTTCCTTGCTTCTTCAGGACTGAGTTGCTTTTCCTGCCTTTGGTGGGTTCTCTCCATCCATCTCTCAGAGCAGAACTGGACTCTTCTACTGACCCACCCTGTTGGCTGAAAGTGTCATGAAGACTTTAATGAGGATTAATGATCTCAGGGTATTTTCTTGAAGAAGAAAACCTTATTTGTAGCCAGGCATCTGAGTGTTTTCAATAGGCTTTTTTATGATGCTGTGAATAGAACCTGTTGCCTTTAAACTCTGGAAATTTGACTCCTGGTTCTTGGCCCCCATTGCCAATAAAATATCTAAACAGAATAAGCAGGATTCTGCCCAGGATGTAGAACAGGTTTCTGTAGCTCAGGATATCCTTCTGGAGTCAGTTGCAAATGTTTGGATTCTCACACACTTCAAATGGAACTGGAATAGAATAGACATGCAAGAGTGGGTTGCCTGGTGAGATGGCTTTGAGAAAACTGTAATATTGATATTATACAAAGAACTAGAAAGCTGTAGTGCTGCTTTAGTCCACACATTCAAGCACGGACTCAAGTGGACTAAGAACCTAAATGCTAAGATAAAACCAGGAAACTGTCGAAAGAATATGAAGGCCATCCCTGTGAAAGATAGGACAAGCCTTCTGAAGAAGCATTCTAGAGCACAATCAAGTTTAAAAGCTGGCGGATGTGACTGCATACATACCAAGGACTTCTGCTCAGCGAAAGACACACTGACAGTCAACATAGGACAAACTGGAAGAACACATTTACAACATCTACAGCAGTCAATGCATGAATATCTAGAATATGTAAAGAACTTCCACAACTCAACAGAAAAGATAGAGGAAACAAAGCAGAAAAGTATTTCAAGAATATGAATAAGTAATTTGTAGAAAGAAAAATCTTAAGTAGGAAACTTAGGAGAACAGTTTATGAAAAGAGACTAATAAAAATGCAAATTGTACCAACATGATACCCCTTTACACTCACTGAAATGGCAAACTAAGAAAAGAAAATAATACCAATATTGGCGATAGTATGTGGAGACAGAAACAATTTGGCACTGCTGGTTCTGTGTATAAAACTTGCAGCCTTTGTGTGATGCAATCTGGCGATGCTTTGTGACTGTAAGGACAGGTCTAGTGCATGGTCCAATAATCTGAAGGGGAATACCTAGATAATTTCTCCCTTGAGTTCACTAAGAGACATAGACAAGGGTGTTAATTGTGACATTATTTGTTGTTTCAAAAATATGAAGGTGCATGAATAGCTTTTTTTCATAATATGCATATTTCATGAACTTTTTGAAAGACCCCTTGGTACATGGAATTAAAAAAATTTTGTACCAAAATAAACATTTTTTAATTCCATTATCCTGTGACTATTTGGTACTATACTCATAAAAGCTACAAGTATCCACCGGAGGAGAATAATGAGAACAAGGTGGTATGATGATACACTGAAATAATGGACTGTGGTCACAGTTATTAACTAAAGCCACATTGATAAACAGTGCACAGTGCAGAATGAAAATTTCTAGCAAATACCTTTAAATCATTTAAAACACATAAACCAGCATTTGCCTAGTGAAGGACATATCAACTACAGTGGAGTGAGGCTCTGAAGGAGAGAAGGAGCTAAGAATGTTGTCAACAGAGAAAAAGCACATAATAAAACAAATGAGAGTACTAATGATGATTGTATTCTATGAATCAATAAATGTAATTAAATAAACTTCATGGGACTAGGCTTAAAAAATAGACCAAATAACAGGACTTCTGATGGGAAATGATGAAATATAGAAAAAATTATCCTGTCCTGCAAGAGAAGTTCTGAGTTGCCATGGTGACTCTGCCTTTTGCTTATTGAGGAACACATACCAGGTAGTTTTTCCCCTAGATTTCCATTTTTCTCTTTGGTATGATAACAAAATGAGGCTAAAATTTCTAAGATTTTTTTCCAGCTTGGTGCATCAAATATTCTGTTCTTCCTCTCCTGTCAATAACCTCTGTAATGTCATAAGCAGCAATAAAACCATATCAGCCATTTCAGAACAATTTTATTTGCTTTGAAAAACAATCTAACTTCTAAGAAATGTCTTTTGCTGAAGGTGTGTTTTCACACACCTGACTAACAGAGTGATGTCCTTTTTTCAAATGTGCAGCCTTTTTCATCTTAAAGCAATGCTTTCTCTCTTTGTAGATCAATGAGTAACGACAGAAAGTTTAACAAATGGTGTGTTATTCAGGAAGAATAGAGGTGCTGTAGAACCAAAGAACCTTTCATGGCTAACCAGAGTCTGGATGATAATGATGATGGTGATGATGATGATGGTGATGACAATAAACTAGAAAAACATGCATCCAGGAAAAACTGAGCTTACCTGGACACACCTTGCATGCAGAGGTCACTAGGATTCTTGCTGTCCTCGGTTTCCTTTAGATCCAACTTTAATTTACCTTGAAATGCACTCTTGAGATGAGAGATGGAAAGCATTATGAAATGAAGGAAGTCGCCTTATAGATCTGTGAACCCCATTTGCAAAACAAAACAACAAAATGGAAAAGTACACATTATCTTAGAAAATCTATTCTGCATTGTACTAGAGGAATTCTTTCACCCTCTTAAGAGCTCATTAAAATGCAACAGTGCTCATTTCAACCAATTACTATTTTGGCTATGAATAGGAAAATATGTGTGAATGGCCAGTTCAGTACAAACGAAAACATTTGCATAACATCAGCTCTTTCTTTGGTTGCATAATTAATCATTTGGGATTACACATTTGTAAACATAATTTTTCAGTGTCAGAAGAAATCATATTTTACCTTCTGAAGCACTGTGCATCATAACTACAACTATCACTTATTGAGCACCCACTAAGTACCAGGTATTATACAAATAAAAAGTTATGCTTTTATGCTTGCCACAGTGATATAAAGTGAATATTATTGTGTCTGTTTTCAGAGAGGGTGAAAAACTTGTCCAAGACAATAAGTAAGCAACCCGAAGCTAAGGATGGCTGTCTATGGAGTTCATGTTCCTTTACAGCACTATGAAACCTCTCCTAATGAGCTTTCTTCTGAAAAGAATGACCACATATTAATAGCTAATATATACTCTGGACTCACTAAAGACCACTGCACATACAACTCTATATGCATCGCTTTATTTAATTCAACAACTATCTCTATGATATGTGAATACTCTCATTATACACACCTTAGGTAATGAGAAAGCCGAGGCTTAAAGAATATAATATCTGGCCCAATATAGCAGAGATAGAAAGTAATAGAATCTGGATTTGAGGTCTTGCAATTAAGTTCTTTTTATTTGCATTTTATTTTTAAAAATTTACATACAACAAAATTGTCCCTTTTTGATGTATAGCTCTTAGAATTTTGATACATGTATAGATGCCTATAACCATCACCATAATTTGTATACAAAACAGTCCCATCACCCTAAAAGCTCCCTCATGTTACCCCTATGTAGTCATACCCCTCTTCCACAACAGCCCCTGGCCGTTTCTGATCTGGTCTCTGTCACTGTAGTTTTATCTTTTTCAGAATGTGATCTAAATGGAATTCAGTGGTATACAACCTTTACAAATTGTCTTCTTTCACTCAGTATTTTGCCTCTGAGCTTCATCCATGCTGTTGCATGTAATTCTAGTGTGGTCCTTTTCATTGTTGAGTGGTTTTCCATTTTGTGAATGTGTCACATTTGTTTATCCATTCACCTTTTGGAAAGAAATTTGGGCAATTTTCAGTTTGGGATGACTGTAAATGCTATGGATAGTCTCATGTTCAGGTTTTTGCATAAATATAAGTTTTCATCTCGTTAGGACAAATACCTAGGAGTAGGGTTTTTGGGTCACATTGTAAGTGTTTATTTAACCTGGTAAGAAACAGTGATTTCAGAATGATTGTATCATTTTGCCTTCTCATTGGCAATGTGTTAAGGTTCTAGTTGAATCCTTGTCAACATTTGATATTGTCAGTTGTTGTTTCTTTAATTTTAGCCATCCTAATAGATATGTAATAGTGTTTCCTGGTAGTATAATCCTCATTTTCACTCTTAAATTTATCTGTGTGTTTCTTAAAGAGATTTTAAGCATCCCTTCATGAGCTTATTTGTCATATATACTTCTTCAGTCATCTGTTCAAGCATTTTTGCCCATTTAAGAAACTTCTGTTGCTTGTGTTCTTATTGTTGTTATAAGAATTCTTTCTATATCTAAAATATAAGTCCTTTATCAGAAATACAATTCACAAATACTTTCATCAACAAATCTGTAGCTTGTCATTTCAACACCTTAATAGTGTCCTTCACAAAGCAGGAGTTTTTAATTTTGCTGAAATCCAATTTATCAATATAAAAAAATGAATCATGCTTTTGATGTCATGTTTAAAAACACTGACTACATAGTCTGAGTCCAAGACAAAGAGAAATTGGAAGACGTTTGCTGGTGGAGAAAGGGGCCACGAGTCAGGGAACACAGACTTCCTATAGAAGCTGGAAAAGGAATGGGAAAGGCTCTGTCCTGGAGGGCTGATGTTAGCCTAGTGAAACCCACTTACTTTTGACCTCAAGAAATGTAAGATAAGTAATGTATGTTGCTTTAAACTACTATAACAACAACAAAGAGAACTTGTACCTAATGGCAGTTTAAAAAAAATTTACCTTATGGTTTCCTGTAAAGGTTTTGTTGTTTTACATTTTACAAATAACTTTGTGATTCATCTGGGATGAGTTTGTTTTGTTTTGTTTTTGTTTTTTTTGACATAAGGGTTTTTTTTTCTATTTTTTAAAAAAATTTTATGTGAAGTATAAAATTTCATGTATTGTATATACAGGTTTAGGAACATAGTGATACTTCCCACCCTACCCTCCTTTCTGCCCATGCTCCCACCATTCTTCCTCTTGCCCCTCCTATTCCTACTCTTAATTTTTACTAAGATCTATTTTCAGTTTACTTAATACTCATAAGGTTAACCCTACACTAAGTAAAGAGTTCAACAAATAGTATGAAGAAAAAACACTGTTCCTCAACCATCAAGAGAAGAGGCATAAAAAATCAACCAATCTCAAATGTCAATTTCACTCCAAAGCATTACATTTTAGGTACTCTGTTAGCTACCACAGATCAGGGAAAACAGATTGTATTTAACTTTTTGGGACTTATTTCACTTGTTTCACTAAGTATAATGGTTTCCAATGTCATCCATTTTGTTGCAAAAGACAGGATTTCATTCTTTTTTATAGAAGAGTAACATTCCATAACGCATATATATATATATATATATCATAATTTCCTAATCCAGTCATCAGTTGACGGACATCTGGGTTGATTCCATATCTTAGCTATTGTGAATTGAACTGCAATGAACATGGGAGTACAGATAACTATTTCATTTGCTGATTTCATTTTGTTTGGGTAAATTCCCAGGAGTAAGATTTCTGGGTCATATGGTAGATCTATTTTCAACATTCTGAGATATCTCTGCAATGTCTTCCACAATGGCTGCACCACCAACAGTGGATTAGTCACATCTTCCTGAGGAATTGATCCATTAAACATTACATAGTGTTCTTCTTTGTCTCTTTTAAGAGTTTTTGTGTTAAAGTCTATTTTGTCTGATATTAGGGTGGCTACACCAGCTCTCTTTTGGTTTCTGTTGGCATGGATTATATTTTTCCATCCTTTTATTACCGGAGAAATGCAGGGTTCTTGTCTTCGCACAAGAAAGAATTCAGGCGTGAGACAGAGTAGTGGGAGGTATAATAGCAAGGTTTATTAGGGAAGGGACATCCGTAAGGACGGATGGGCACCTCTCCAGACAGAGCTAGAGACCGAGAGAGTGCCCAGTCGCTTGGACTGGGGGGGTGGGGGGTGAATGAGGTTACATGGTTGAGTGGAGAGATTACACCTGCCCAGACCAGGTGGGCGGCTCAGCAGAGAGGCAGAGGGTTGAGGCCGGGGGGTGGGGGTGGGGGGTTGGTTAAGGAAATGGGTCTTGCTTCCCCACCTCTGCTCCTCTTGGAAGAAAGGGCTTTTTGGATGTAAATAGAAAAACTTCTATCTGAGTTTTCCCCTGAAGGTATCAGACAGGAGGAAGCCTAGCTGGCGCCATCCTGAGTTCAGAGGAAGGGTGAGCAAGACCCCCTAGAGAATGGGGATCTGGAGCAGGGTGTTTGAAATGCAGATACTGGGCTGCATCTGGGAGATTGTAGAAGATTTGTCAGGCAGAAAGGGCGGGGACCTCCACCTGGCAGGTTATCAGGTAGAAGAGGGCAGGGCAGGATGTGAATACCGGGCTGCCCCTGAAACATTGTCAGGATGACTTTGAAATGTAGATGCATGTACAGGACATAGATGTCTTCTCTTTAGGCCTTTATGTCACACACACATAAGCTCATAAATGACTTCCTACCTAACACTTTCATTTTCAGTCTACCTGCATCTTTGTTGGTGAAATGTGTTTCTTGTAGGCAGTTTCTTTAATCCATTCAGCCAGTCTGTGTCTTTTAACTAGAGAGTTGAGACCATTTACATTCAGGGTGACTATTGTTAAATAATGACTTTGTCCTGCCATATTTCCATTGTTAGTCCTAATATTTACTTGAGTTTCTTTTGTGTTTTTACTGGATGACTTTCTTTCTTCACCTTCTTTCTTACTGATGTTCCTGTTTCTGTGTTCCTGTGTGTAGCACATCCTTGAGCATCTTTTGTAAGACTGGGCAAGTAGTTATAAATTCTTCAAATTTCTATTTGTTATGGAAGATCTTTATTTCACCTTCATTCATGTAAGAGAACTTTGCAGGGTACAGTATTCTGGATTGACAGTTTTTTTCTCTAAGGACTTGGATTATATCTTGCCATTCTCTCCTAGCCTATATGGTTTCTGATGAGAAGTCTGCTGTGAGTCTAATTGGGGTTCCTCTGAATATAATCTGGCATTTCTCTCATGCATATTTTAGAATCTTTTCTTTATGCTTTACTTACTGTGGAGAGTTTTACTACAGTGTATCATGGTGAAGATCTTTTCTGGTCTTATCTATTGGGAGTTCTGTGTTCTTCCTGTATTTCCCTTTCTCCAAATTGGGGACGTTTTCTGTTATTATTTCATTAAAAAGGCCTACTAATCCTTTCTCTCTTCCCACACCTTCAGGTACTCCTAGGATCTGTGTGTTGGGTCATTGGATAGTATCTTGTAGATCTCGAACAGTGTTTTTTCTAATTTCTTCTTCTTTTTTTTTTTTTTTTTTTTTTGGTTTGACTGCAAAATTTCCAGAAATTTATCTTCTAGTTCTGATATTCTTTCTTCTGTCTCACCTACTCTATTGTTAAGACTTTCCACTGCATTTTATTTGATCTATTGAATTCTTCATTTCTAGTATTTCATTCTGATTTCTCTTTAATACCTCAATTTCATGGGAAAAACTTTCATTTAGTTCATGAATTTGCTTCTGATTGCTTCTTAGTAATCTGAACAGTAATTTTCTGAATTCCATTTCTGGCATATCCTCTATCTCTTCCTCTTAACCTTCTACTATTGTAATGTTATAGTGTTCCTTTGAAGGGCTCATCGTGTCTTCTTTATTCTTATTTAAGCTTCTTCCTTTGTTTTTCTGCATTTGTGTAGTGGTATTTTTTGGGGGGTGTCTGGTTGCTTTTATCCTTGGTTTGTGTCTTTGTGGTTTAGTGGGACATCTGTACTTTTGGTGAGTACCAAGAGATGTGTGCTGTATGTGGTCTGGTTGCTCTGTTCAGTATTCCTGGTTATAGTAAGTATCCAAGGTAAGGCCCCAGTGGGGCTTTGTAGCTCTCCTCTGGTTATCTGGATGGAGGAGGATGTTCACCTTGGTTGGTGTGACCTGTCCTCCTCACAGCTGCAGGACACCCCTGGTGTATCCAGTACTAGTTCGCACTGCTTAATGAACTGCACCTTTGATCTGTGGAGTCCTTCCTCGAGCATGGTTATGTTATGTTATGAGCTGCTATAGGTCTGTGGGTCACGAGTTGGTGCACAGAGCCCCCACCTACTGGAGCCTAGCTCACATCTCAATGGTGGTGGGAAGGTACAGGCTTCTAATAGGAGGGGCTTCCCCTTGTGGTAGAGCTTGTGTGGTAGGGGAAGGAACTCTTTTGGATTGTTGTGACCCTCATTTTTGGTAGGGGGTGAAGCGACCCCCACTATTTCTGGGTGCGTGGGAGGCAGGGGTGGTAGCCACTTGCCTGTGTCCAAAAGTAAAAACAAACAAGTAGTGCAATGGCTTATCCTTGTGGGTTGCAAGTCCCTGCAGGATGAGGAGAGGGAAGACGGAGGTGCTCCACCTCCCTATTTGTTAATTTTTTCTCCCCACATGGAACTTCAAAAGCAGTTCACCAAGCTCTCCCTCCTGCTGCTATCCACAGCTCTGTGGACCTGCAGATTCCCCTCTCACTTGGTCTGCCAGGGCTGTCGCTTTCTTCCCTGGATCCAAGCCTCCACTTTTTTTTTTTCTTATTTGCTCTTTCAGCACAAACCTTGACAATCTCTGCTGTTCTTGCTGGGTTTCCCACTGAAAATTCCCCATGGCTTTATCTCAGGCCTGTATTTTCTCCCCTTTTTATGAAAATATTAGCATGATTTAGACTTTTGTGTCGCTATTCTGCCATCTTGGAACCCCCCCTCATTGGTCGTTGGTATAAAGTTTGAGGTTTATGTCAAGGTTCTTATTTTTTGCATATGGACATCCAATTGTTCTAACACTATTTGTTGCAAACACAAATCCTGTCTTCACTGAATTTCCTTTAGAGCTTTGTCAAAAATCAATTGGCCATATTGGTATGGGTGTTTCTTGGTTCTCTCTGCTATCCCACTGATCAATATGTCTATCCCGTCCCCACTGCCAGACTGGCTTGGTTACTGCAGATTTACAGTTAGTCTTTAAATCTGATTGTGAGTGTGATTCACCCAGCAGTTACTGTTTTAAACCAACCAACAGTACAGCACAATGGAATCAGTTCTTTGCCACCTGGAGGATGTTAATAATATGATTTTTTTCATGTAGAAAGGGGTGGAGAAGCAAGCTGTCTGACCTACTTCCCAGTTCAAGGGAGAAAGGGATGGCTGTCATTTGCCTGAATGGCCTGGAAGTCCCCACTAAACACATTCACTATGCGTCTTATATTCTTACAACCCATTTATTGTGTGTGCTTCTGTGTTGAACATCACTGTAGACTGTGGGGAAGAGGAGGACACAGGAGTTTCTTCCTCCTATGATGTTTATACCAAACAGTAAACAAGTAACATATAAACAATGGAAACAAAACTGGATGGCTGTTCTTCAATGAATCAGCATTGAGTAAAGTGTGAAAGAGAGATTCGGGTATCTTAGATTGCACTGGTAGGGAATACTTCTCTGAAGGTGACATTTACACTAAATCTGAGTGGAGAAGAGGGGGATTCTGGGTGTGAGTCTGCAGAGCCTTAGCTGAGATCATGCTTGCTATGTTTGAGAGGCAAAAAATGACAGGGATGACTAGGGGAGTGAGCCAGGGAGAGAGATAGGAAACCAGTTCTAGGAGGTGGGCCAGGGGAGGTGAAAGGACTTCACAACCAGGACAGGAATCTGGGTTTGACTCTAAGTGCAATGGGAGGCCTTTAGAGAGCTTACATGAAGAAGGATTATGTGACCAAGCCCAGAACTGGGCTCTCAGAGAAATATAAGAAAATAAATATTGTGTGAATTTGCTCAATCTCATTTCCCATAAAAAGTGTTCCCTGTTCAAGTTAAGCCAATCTCTACACAGAGGCAATGTATGTATGATTCCAGAGAAGTCAAGTTCTGGAC